TTTATTTTTCGGTTTGCACACCCCTAAACAGTTTCTTGCTTTTCAAAACTGGACTTTTTGACGGGAACGCGAGGAGTGAAGTTGTGTGATTTGTTTTATTTTGTCTATTTAGTGTTTCTTCAGGTTTAAATGTGTAATAACGGTGGTTTATTAACTGTTTAATATCTGTGAAAGTGCACAAATTTGGGAAAATGGAACAAAGCCGCTGAACGTAACTTCTCGGGATTCTCCAAAAGTCCACTGAAAAAATCTCAGTAAATGACCACTATTTTACTGAGATTATATTTCATCCCATTTCATCTCATATCATTTCACTCCATACTATCATTTTTTCATAAAAATAAGAATATAAATTAAAATAAGACATGACTTAAAGGTCTTAGTTACCAGGTCATAAAATCCCTAAAATCAACTTATCAAAACTCAGTTCTCATTGAAGCTCAAATTATATTCAGAAAGAGACTTAATTTATTAAGTGTAATAGCATGATGTAAGTACAATTTAGCTACCGTATTTCTTAATAAATTATATAAACAATATATTTATATAACGAAGACGATAACTCCGAGCGGTATGCACATTCGTTACTTGAGATTGTATATTATTTGCCTAATGCTCGATTCGGAATCTCGAATAAATACAACATCTAAGTATTAAGAGTGTTTTCTATCACTGCAATCAAAGAAAAACTACCTGTTCCACATAGAAAAGACTCTATACGCATTCTGAACGACAAAAGCGCCTTCGACAATGCATGTGAATAAATAAACCGCCCACGTCAACTTTAACACAGACCCACGCTTTACAAAACACTTAATACCCATCGCGGGAATAAATCTATAAAAATACAACCCAATAAAAATGTTTGCCTCCACCCGATGTACAACGTATTAAGTGCTGTTAAACTCAAAGCTCTTTATTACATTTTAAATAAATATTAAAAATAAACAGAGCAGAGCGCAAAGCGTTGACACAGTTTTCCTGACGTTGAATTTTAAGGGCGATGCAAAATTTTAAAGAGTTTGAAAAGAAAATTAAGGAGTCGGTGGACGGCGTCGATTTTAAAAGCTCTGCGAAGTCGTTGCATCGCGTAACTTAGTTAGGCACGGCGAGTTACCTCCTTAACGGGCGGCCGGAATATTATAGAAGTAACTCGAATTAATCTTGGAGTTTTTTCTTTGGTTATGCAAAGAAAATTCTCGGCACTAATGAGCTAGATTGTTAGTTCAGACTGACGCACCTTTATACAGGTGCGCCTGTTTTGTTTAACGTTTCTAGCTTCATTTGGGCTTGAGCCTCGTATCGCTTGAGGATCGTATGAATTCACTTTCAAATTTAATTTTGTAAGTTAAACTTCTAATTAACAAGATTGATGTTTAGATTTCTCCACATCAGATAAGTAGAAATACATTTTTTACTGTGTAAAATTTATATTGAAAGCATGAACTAAACTACTACATATTAATGTTTTAGACTTGTTTTAGTCTTGCGACACTTCAAATGCTAATATTTTCTAAGCATGTTTAATTTAATACATAAATCGAATGGTCTTGTTATACAGACATTATTTATCTCGACCTTCATCTACGAATAAAAGTATAATAGCAAATATTTATTTATATTTTTCAGTTTCTATTCCGTGACCGCCATTCCCTCCTGTGGGGCGATTTATACCGTGTTATTGTGTAATAAAGACATAAAGACCGGTGGCCCGTCCCCTACAGTCGCTTATCTAACAGCAATCGATTGGACATCTGTATAACCATACATTATTTTAACTCGATTAATCGCAGGAGAACGGGTGGTCTCCGTAATTTGAACATTATGATTTAAATGAGGCAATTCCAATTTAGTCATTGAATTTGTGGTACGTCACTTGAATTGGCTTATAAATGATCATACGAAATAATTGTTTTCATTGCAATTGTTCGCCACCGTTGGCTTAGTGATGACCCTCAGTACGGTGCTTTGGGAGTCCGATGTTGAGTTGCTGTAGTTATCCTAATTGGAGATATTTGATGACCATGCTCTGGGTCGTAGTATATTATGGTATGATAAGTGTTATCATTCATAAACATGAAAGAGCTAAACCAATCTCTAAATTTTATAGACTTAGAGAACAACTAAAAATTTTATTGTAAATTATACATATATTATAGAAACCGTAACCACGCTACACGCCTGTTTAAAATCTCGCCCGCGACGGGCCACTGAGTTCGAACTGCGGCTATGCATCCGATACGTTCCAACCAACTTGTACAGTTCAGTTCATCGCTCCATTTATCCGATGACCGTTGATAGACTCGCTCGTTATTTTAACTCAATACGAACAAAACTCTGAGATAAAATCATCAAATTTATTAACAGCCTTCGAATGACGTTTTACATAACAAAGAGTGAAACGAATAATATCATTCCTATCGCGCGTCCGTATCATTTCCGTCCGTAACAAAATCGTTCGTTTCTCTGTTCTCGTAACTTTCCATTTAACTATAGAGAACGGGTTAAAATAGATGCTGGCCGGTTGCGATACACGGCTCAGATAAATTCCCTTCATTTTTCTTCAAGTCGCGGACCGTCAGCGTATAAATGCTTCCTCTGTCTTTTTTGTGCTCTCAACCGATGGAATTACGGTATTAATCAACCGAAATGAACCTTTTAGCGAAATGTCAAAAGGTTTACGAAGATCTCTTCGGTGATGCGGTCGGTTAGCCGTAATGAAAACAAAAGAATACTCACTGCGTAAGGGCTAAAGATTGTATAGGGGAAATTATGTGGCAAAGGAAGTGTGAAATGAATGGACACGATGACTCCTTCAAGAACGATTTAATTATTTTCAATTCCATGTTTCAAATAATCACCCTTTATACAAAGCCATTTTTACAATAATCATCACTCTTTTATTGTATTAAATAAATTATGTTACATGGCTTTAGTGCAATCATTCTTAGAATAGACAGGCGTAAGTTATTTGCTTTAGGCACAATCGACTAAAGGTTGAACCAAGACAAGTCGCTTTCTCTGAGATAAGAGTTTCCTCTTTGTTTATCCCACCACATTAATTCGAGATTATTACGTAACCGCTTCGAGAATTGTTAAATTGATTGTAACATAGCCTTTTACTTTTTTATCACAAACTTACCTTACCTTAATCAGCTTTGCCTCGAATGAATGTTAAAAATTAGAGAGAAAGCAATGAAACTTTTTTTTATTTCTTACTAGCTGAACCGGCAGACTTCGTAGTGCCTCAATCGATAAATAAAATACCTAAACTTTTGTATAAAATAAACTTAAATCAAACAAAAGTAATCCGTCCGACGTGGGACACACAAAGGTAAAACAAAATTGTTATTTTTATTTATTATAATTTCCACCATTTTCATATTCATATTATCTTTTAAACCTTCTCTGGACTTCCACAAACAATTCAAGACCAAAATTAGCCAAATCGGTCCAGCCGTTCTCGAGTTTTAGCGAGACTAACGAACAGCAATCCATTTTTATATATATAGATAGGTATAGATATAGATATAGATTGCCCGTATACGCAGACGTAAATACGGACCACCTGATGGTGAGTGGTTACCGTCGCTCATGGACGTCAGCAACGCTAGGGGCAGAGCCAAGCCGCTGCATACCGTTTAATACTCTCTACAAGCCTCGCTTGAAGAAGGACATGTCATAGCTCTCGGGAAACACCGTAGAGGGGAGAGCTCATTCTAAAGCCGGATGGTACGAAGGAAAAGGAAACTCGGGTAAAGTGAAGAGCAGCTCGTAATAGAATCTAAATTTCCTGTTAGAATTGACCAAATATGAACTTGATTCGAATTCCGTCCGGCAACGGATTGTAGTGTTCACTTGGGGCGCTGTCCGGACTAGCGCACAGTCCGGTCACCCGAGCACATATTTCCGCTTGATTAGAGGACGAGCGAATCGCTCAGGACACCTGCGCCATCTGTGTGTCGACCTTTCGGTGCGTTTTGTTTTCGAATTCGGAACGAGTCTCTCCGGATAACTTTTATTGTCGCTTGTCTACTGATGCGGGCGCTTTCTGACTTCCACTCGACACGATCGTTTCGTCTATTTCGTTTTTGAAGCCAATTTTGCTTACATCTTGATCTTTATGATGATGAAATGCTTCTTGACCCGTGCCTTCTTTTGAGAGTTCAGTCAAACGGCAATTAAAAAAAGTTAGGTATGTATTATCAGGTTTTTTTTCCGAAACGAAATTTTATATTTCTGTTCTTACCTAACGCCGATATTCATGAAAGATGGAAGGAGAGATATTATCAGAGCTAATAAAAATATGCTTGTTATAAAAATATTTTTATGGGCATCTAAGGGTTTATTTTATTTATGTTTTTAATGACATCTTAAAATTCTTCAGAGACGATACGACAATTAAAAAAACAAAAATTAAATAAAAAGGATTTAATATTTTAGTACAGGAATATAATAATAAGACTTACTTTACTGATGGTAGGACCTCTTGTGAGTCCGCGCGGGTAGGTACCACCCTGCCTATTTCTGTCGTGAAGCAGTAATGCATTTCGGTTTGAAGGGCGGGGCAGCCGTTGTAACTATACATGAGACGTTAGAACTTATACATCTTATATATATCTATACTTATATATCTCAAGGTGGGTGGCCCATTTATGTTGTAGTTGTCTATGGACTACAGTAACCCCTTAACACCAGGTGGGCTGTGAGCTCGTCCACCCACCTAAGCAATAAAAAAAGACTTTTTATATTCTTATAACATTTTATTAGGTACTATATAAATTTTCATAAATACTTTACTTGCATGTTTTTATTATTCCGGATTTAAACTACATTCTATTTTATTTTGTTCAGCATTATACAATATTTTTGCTATAAACATTAAAATTAAATTTAATCATAGACGTACCATTTATTTTAACTACCGACCGCTTACTTTACTAGCGAGGGACCACCACTACTTACGCTTCTGTTAATAAATTTATCTTTTATTGTTTCAGGATGCTGCTAGACTGACGATTACTTCTCATGTTTCGGATTAAGTCAGCGTTATAACATCAAACTCCCCGCCTTCACTTAGGTAAGCAGCTTTTACGAGTTTCTTATCATAAAAATTGCTAAGTACCAGCCCTATCCTTTCTGTGGGCTGCTTGAAAATACTAAATGTGTAGGTAAAATAAGGTTAGGTAATACAAGCTTGAAGTAAAATTGATGGGTTCCTACGTTTACGAAACAGCGGCTTTATTGTTCGGGTCAGAAGTTTATTATTATATTAAAATAAAGAATCTTTGATCCTGGAAATTATCTTAAAATATTTAGATTATACAGAAGATTTTGGCCAAAAACCATACTAAGTTTGTAATTTTTCACGCATACTCAAATTAAATCGTACAATTGCCAAATTTGAATGCTTAAGTTCAATTTAAATACTTAAGTTCAATTTAATACTAGACAAACATAACAATAACATAGATAGATATCAAGTATTTTGGCACAAAAGTATCAAAGTTAAAACAATTGACGTAACGTTTATTTCCGACGGTAGCCATTTCTCTTTCAAATCGCGCGGAAAGGGGTAATTTGTATCTTTTTTCAATAAAGCAACACCTGTGGCCCGCCATTTGTGTTGTTTCCCTCTAAGCTTCAACCGTTGTAAATGTTAGTCCATTTGTAGCGAGATTGAAAAAAACTCTGTCGTCGTATGTGTTCGTAGTTTAAAGGTTTTTAGCAATTTAGAAGCAGTAGCAATAGTTTGTAACTAACAACAAAAAGAGTATGCAAACAGCAAGCCAAAAACCTCAACGGGATTTGTAATTCGATTATTCTTTGAAACCAGAACGCAAAATTTCTTTGGGTCAGAAATGGTTACATATTTCTAATGGGTAACTTCAAATAAACTAGTTGTACTAAATAAAGTTAACTTATCTATGTAAAAGGTAATGGTTAAATTAGGCAGCCATTTTGTGACTTATATGTGGGAAAATGTTCAGCGGCTCTTCAAGCACCGGTCACCGTCCTCGGTTAGAGAACTAGCTCATAGATACAACCCAATGATTTTCTCGTCGGATTTTAGCGGGTCGCGATTCCGATGCGGTGGTCGATATTGCAAAGCACTGTTCTTGCTGGGGCTAATGTTAGCAAATTCTCTGAAGTTGAGCCCGGAGATCACCTACCAGTCACCGCGTAGCTGGAATAGCTTCTTAGGTTACCAACTATTTCTTAGGGGAGAAAAAAATACAACAATTTCAAAATCACAGACGCTTACCTTTTTCCGAAATATTCGCTGGTAATCACAGAAAATTGCTAACCCTGACTATAGTAACAGCAGTGCTTCTCTTAATCTACCATAGAAGATTGTTGTCATAATAATATCGTCCTACAAGCTGTATTTATATTTCTCTTTAGAACTGCATTTATTATCATGTCTAAATCTTCTTATGACACTATTAATAAGTTTTTATCGCATAACGCCATTTAAATGTCAGAACCCAATGTTCTGTAAAAGTTTATTGAGCACGATATTTTGTTGGTTCTAGTGATATTATAGTTTCGGATGACAAGAAGTTAAGTGTCGGTTGTACGCACGATCTATTTCTGTTAACTACCTTTATCGTAACGGGTATCATAACACATAAAGTTATCTTACTTTATTCTTGTCTTAAGAGTAGGAGAATCATTCAGCCTTGAGTTGTGTTAAACATTCTTAACTAAGCTTACCAATTAGGTTTAGAAAAAATTGTGCATATCGACTTTTTGATTATATGTATATTTTGTTTGCGTAATGTGAATTGCAAATAGTTTCTTATTTAGTACTCAGTGATAAGGACTTCATTAAATCCTACTTCACGACTGAATGTACCAATAAATGCCATTCCTATTTCGGAGTGCAAAACCAAAACAACCAAAAGTCCAATCAACACAAAATAATGTCTCCCAATTTCCCTTGAATGTCCCCAACTTCGTGCTATTGGTCACGGCAAGCGTCTTAACGACACAAAATCACCGCGGAAGCTGTGTTTCTCCCCCAATTTCATTATCATACAAATTTTAGCTGCCCCCTATTACTTAGCGATTTTCCTGATTAAGGGCGAACCTATGCGTTGGCGACAAACCCGGAAAATACGGCCACGGTAATGTTGATTTGCTATTAACATATTGCAGCATATGCTTATAGCATGTGTGTATGGATGACAAATTTACGCTTTATACGTGTAACAAGGCCATGCTACACTATCGCAAAGTATTCTAATTAGTATATGAGATACAGCTGTTTATTGAAATATTGAAACTACTCAGTCGTGCTTTGAAGGTATGTATTATAATTAAATGCTGTAATAAACCATGTATGAAAGATGAACAGACACACAAACCAAAAATATTTATCTCATTTCTTTTCTTGAGTTTGATTGATCATACTGTACCACCTTATTTGAGTACAGCACTTCTTATTTTTCGAAGAAATAGTATAATTTTCTACATTCTAATGAATCCTGAATACATATTATTTATAGTGAAGTGACTTGCTTCGTTGTTCAAGGCGGCCTCTGAATAGGGACATGCGGGTTCTAAATTGACGCTTCGATGGCCGGCCCGACATTATGTTCTTGCGTCGACGTGCTTTTGTCAGAGCAATTCAAAGGTGGTTGCCCGTAAGTGGGTCAGAGGGGATTTGCGATCGCCGTATCCAGTTATGTGGACCCCGAAAGCCTCGAGCCATTGTGGCTTGCTCTGCTTTCTACGCGACAGCTATTTTGCCCGTTTTGCATACCGGCTTTGTTGGACGTCGTTGCTAGTCCACAAACGCTGTCAAATAGCTGACGTCTTTCCTTATTTATGGTCTCGAGCTCGTACGTCTTGACAGTTTTAAGTAACAGAAGTTCCGAGAGCAGGGAAACTGTCTAAAGTACGCATCGATGTTCTGCTCTGGACGTAAATCACTCAATGTCGTTCCTTTGCGAACTTATGACCTTGGACTTGTTGAAAACTTTAGTTCATACCACGAAAGTGTCTTAAGCAGTATCTAAGTTCCCACAAAATGAAAATGAAATTTAGGGTTCCCAGAACTTCAGGTTTTAAGAGGCGATCTTCAAATCAAATGACCGGTGAATAATACAACGGAACACAAACAAAGACTTGTTCGGTTGTAGCCGGTATAAGTGGAAGGCCCTCATTTCGTCAGGCGGATAAGTGTGGCCGTAATCTGTACTAGGGCTCGTGTAAATGCAAATCGTCCCATAAAGTCATCGCTCCCTCCCCACTCAGCGCGCCCGCTCTCTCCTAATGAAGAGCATCTCGGACGTCGAAACCCACGTCCGTCATCTCGGTATACATAGCTTGAGGCAACATTGACTAATTAAATTCACCCCTTAAATTAGTTTGAACATGCATGTGGGAGCCAGTATCTGTGTTTTGATACAAGGTCAGTTCCCGAGTTAAAGCGTTAAATGTTCTAAAATAAAAATATTACATACTCAACGGACTTTAAACACAACTAGATGATGACCGGTTATTTTTTTGATAACGCCATCTTGTTGTGTCTTTAAAGCGGTTAGTTGCCCTCAATTAAGAAAAATAGTATTATTAATCCCCAATAGATGTCGGGAAGAGTTGATTATTGAAAACACGAATAAAACAACATTTTCTGAAAATAAATCGTAGCTAGATCGATTTATCGCCCCCGAAATCCCCTGTATACTAAATTTTATGAAAATCGTTGGGGCCGTTTCCGAGATTCAGATTATATACATACAAAAATTGCTCGTTTAAAGGTATAAGATAAGATAGGATAAGATAAAAATTTAAGTATAATTTAGCACTTATAACTTTTGATTGTAATGCTAAATAAAAATATGTTCCAATATAATTCAGATCTGAGCCGCTTCTATGAATGCTGTTCAAATTCAACTTCGGGGTTATCATAGTTATTGGAAATTGATGGTTTATTGTAATCAGTGTTAGGCTCAAACCTGGCTACTATAACTGCCTATTAAGTTAACGACTATCCTCAATTTAATTACTTGGCTGATTTGGGGAACGAATGTTTCGTTATATTACCGTCCCCTGCGTTCTTGTCTTAGATTTTACTGTCGATAGTTTGATGCGGTGAAATATACACGAAAGTCATGAAGTAAACAAAAAAACCGTCGTACTTTTCTGTCATCACTTATTTGTAAGTTTGTATATTTTTAAGGCGAAGGCTTAAGGCGACTATACATGTACTAAGTTTTATTACATTACTGTGTATTTTATTCTTCTATAGATTCTATATTATCTATTTTACGCTAATTTTAAAGTTTCTGTCTTTCATTTTCATTTAGAAGAATGTCAATAAGTTCATTGATTATATGAGTCCATAGATCCCATAATATATAGGTATACACTGTCAGACATCTCAAAGATATGAGATTTCAGTTTTCATGGTCATCGGATTACCGCTATCTATATTTCAAACTAGAAAGTGTTTCACGGCAAAAATAGGTAGCATGGGGTAGATTGGGATATTCGGCAATAAAGCAATCGATGCTTTTAAACATACCTATTATCTTCATTTCATAATTGTTCCATTTACACCTTATAAAATATAGACGTCAAATAGTATGACAATTATCAATGTATACAATAAAACCACCTCATCAATCTTCAATTACCTATCTCACAATTGACGAATTCGTGATTTCAGTAGAAAGAAAAAAAAACACAAAAATACTTTATTACGAAAGACGATAACAATGGATAACGATTAATAACGACAACTACCTTCGCTTCGTCAACGACAAAACCTCGCATTGTCGCTTAATTATCGGATCTCATTACTGTCGATTCCGACGATTACGAGTCACAAAACAAGAACAAAGAATGACGTCGCCTTAAGGCTTCGTAGGTGAAACAATACGTACGCGTGGGGACTCCCTGTTGAATTACAAATACGTATACTTGACGTGAATTCGAATAAGGCGGGACACACGCTCACGACACACTAGTTTTATGTTCCCGTGTATCGGTTTATGTACAGTCGCTTCATAGCGCTTGGCTTTGTTCTCGCATTCTATTGCGATGAATAAACGTCAATAACATTTTTTT